CTAAGTTTTTGCTACCATCACACCAATAAAAGGTTCCAAGCTAACACAGCATTAGCTAGCTGGCTATCAGGCAGTATGTGGCCTTATTAAACTTAATAAAAGTAGACATTAGTTACTGTGTTTGTGCATTATATTCCTTCATAGCAATAATTAGTTGGCTTATTGACAGACATCTCTGTTCGACTTCTGTTGGTACTCTTCCTAGCAGGAGCTGGCCAGCTGATTGGAAGCAGCAGTTCCAGCTCTAAATCGAAATGTTGCGTTCACGAACGATCAAATTCTCTTTTATAGCTTTTGGACACAAACAAAGGGAACTGAGTTGGTCTTCAGAGCTATTGACAATGTACTTGTGGTGGTGGGTGGTACGAAAAGACTGTACGTAAGAGATGGACGAAGCCTCTGTGTGTGAAAAATGAAGTCAGTGTCGAATGCCTTAAAGCTACATTCTTTCTAACAGTTCAGCAGGCGGCAACTCCTCTGGTTGTTTGAAGTCTATGAAAAAAAATGACTACTTCTTACTTGATCTATTACCTTACTAAACATGTTCCTATTGAGTTTATAGTCTCAGCTGCTAATTTCAAGTCTCCTTCATCACAGTGTGGTGGTCATTCACTAAATTATGGTCCCGTTTAAAGTAAAATAGATGATGATGCAGGGTATGTTTTAGGGTGTGGCTACCTTGTGATTGACAAGTTACCACTGCATGGGTCTGCATAGTGTCCATAAGTTCTCCAGTTAGATGCACACCTCCACCTAATTTCAAAAGACCAACACGACAACAGCCAAACTGCAGACTTATGGCTTCACAGCAGCAATCCCTAAACCAGTGTCTCTGTCCATCTTTTATAAACTGTGTTACGGGGAGGTTCGAAGGCTCATGCGCGAGGCAACATGACACGGCAGACAGGCAGTTTAAACAATCAATTATTTATTTGTACACACAGAAACCGATAAAGAACTAAAAGAGATTGCTGGAAAAGCAACTATGTCTAAAATGACAGAACAAACAAAAACCAGAGGCACGGACCCGAGCTCGGTATCACCGAGTCGGGCACCGAAAAAACAAAACGAGACGAAACAAGAGAAACTAAAAGAGGACACCAAAAGGTGTTAAAGAAGGAGATTTACTTGAAAACAAAAAAGGACTAGCAAGCTGAAAAACGCTAGCTCTACGCACGGGCAGGTGGGGGTAAGCAAAAACAGAAGTCTAACGAACTGAAAAAGCTAACGGACCAAAAGCTAGCAACGAGCTAGTGCTAAGCGCCGACTGGCGAACTAAATACAGGGCGAGGAGAACAGACGTACGGACAGGATGACAAACGGAAGTACAAACACTAGCGGGACATACGGACTGGTGGAGTAATGATGCTAAACCGGAGGCTAATAGTGAGGCTAGCTAAACCTACGCTGGGGGGAATCTGACCTGACGGGGAACCGACTGAGAGGAGAGGGGACGCAGGGAGGTGAGTGGAGGAGCGGAGCGCCTGGCGTTGCCGCGGCTGCGGTGGAGCGGCTGCCGAAGACCGGGAGCGGACGCCAGGGAGCTTCGGGAGGGAGAGGAGGACGGAGCTGGTGTCTGGGCTGACGGGTGGACCAGAGCGGGCAGGTGACAAGTGGTGAGTCCGATTTCCGGGGCAGGAGTGAAACGGAGACAGAACCGGTGAATGGTTTGACGGCGTGGCGCTGGAGCATTGTCTGGCTGGAGCTGAAGTACCAGCAGACCGGAGGTTGCAGCTGGAGCGGACCAATCCCCACGCAGCAATCACCAGATTGGTAACCAGGTGCACCTGCCTGCGTGCTGAGAGAGAGAGAGAGAGAGAGAGAGCGCCAGAGAGAGAGAGAGAGAGAGAGAGAGAGAGAGAGAGAGAGAGAGCGCCAGAGAGAGAGCGCCAGAGAGAGAGAGAGAGAGAGCGCAGGGCAGGGGCTGAGGCTGCAGGGCCATGACAAACTGTCCATGGTGTCATGGTGTGTGACTGATTTTCTGCAGCTATATTCTACAGATGTAAATGGCAGAATACCGGTAGATAATACAATTTACCTTTGTTCCCTAAATGTCTCACATTCAAGCTATTGGTAGATGGCTATTGGAATGAGTTGCCTTGCACTAATATATTTGAAAAGAGCAACAGCCAATGGTAAAACTCCTATCACTAGGCCAACCAATGGTGTAGCTTCACCACTCAGTCAGTCCATCAGTCAGACAGGGACATACATTCATGTTTGTAGGAGTGACCCGCTGTTGGAAGCTCTGGAGCCATAAGATCTGACTCCCTTCTGTGAGGACGTGCAAAGACTTGGAAAGATTGGGGGCATGTGATTGGCTGAGGAGCTCAAGAGAGAGAAGTGGTAATAAAAATGCAAACATCCATCCATCCATTATCTATACACCGCTTAATCCTCACTAGGGTCATGGGGGGCTGGAGCCTAATGATGATAAAACATGATAAACCTAATAAAATGCCAAGTATAAAAATTAAAAAAAAAATTAAAATTAAAGCCGAGCATTTCATTATATTCTCTTGAGTTATACTTTTTATGATTCCACAAATGGTTGCTTCATTTCTTTTCATACATTCAAATTACTTTACATCCTTTCTTTGATAAAGTGCTGTGAGATGCTCTGATGGAAAGATACCAGTGCAATTTGACAAGCATTTAAAACACCTGTATCTGCCGCTTTGGCCTAATGCATGACAAAAGACGTGCAGCAAGAAAAAAAAGACAAACATCCCAACAGCGCTCCAACAAGAATTCTCATTTTATTGACTAAATCTCAGCCTACAGGAAGACAGTTGTATTGCAAAGACAAAACCGGATACGAGTTCTAGTGCTGTGGTCATCTACTCACTAAAACTCCACTAAAATCATGATGCTTTGAAATATGTCACCGGACAGAAAGACACTGGAACTCCATTACAACACGTCACGTCATGGGTGAGGTGAGAAGGCAGCAGTGACTGACTCAGACACTGGAGAGGAAAGCCAAGAGGGAAGGGGAGTCGTGGCAAAGTTCTAGTTGGGTGTCACCCGTCCTTCCTACCAGCTCAGGCGTCATTAGCTTCAGCAGATCTGCTGTGGTTCATTCTCATACCCTGGGAATCCAAAAGGCCCACCTAGACGTGTAATTTCACATCTTGAAATTGTGTCATTCCAATAAAAACGATGTCAGGATGAGACTGTGTTCATAATAAACTAAAAAATCATCTTGCTTTTTCATGACCTTTGTGGTGGCAGACATGTTCATCTGTGGTTTGCTACCACAGTTTGCTAGTGGTGCTAAACTTGCTTGGCGATTAGCAGCAGACATGTCAGTTTATGTTTGGAACAGATAGCATTTTTGACAATAATGCTACTGTTTATAGTTTTCCAGATTTCAGGGAGACAGTTGTGGTTAATCTTTCACAATGTTGCCGCGTGCAGATTAGTTGTGTGGCCAATTGGCAGTGGGCTTCTGGCTAACTTTGTAAAAAAAAAAACTGTTGCAAGTTTGCTGCAGATTTGCATATTTATATTTTAGGTAGTTTTTATATTATTGCAGGTGATTTTCTTGGCACAGTAGTTGCACTGTTGCCTCATGACATAAAGTTGCTTAATAGTTTCTGTTGTAGGTTATTCTCTCACCCAGCTAGTTTTGACTATTAAATTACCATTTTTGTAACTCATAGCAGCCATTATTTCCGGCAAACTTAGCAGATTAGAGCTTGTGTTTGAACAAATTGTGGCTATATTGTCTGAAATGAGCCTGGACCGTTTTGTAAGATAATATAATAAAGGTCAAATTCAGGAAAATCAGGGAAGAGCAAATACGCCTTGTCAAAAGCACCAAAAAATTTGTCAAAAGGTTAGCTAGCTATCTTAGCAAGCTAAACTTTGGACAAGTTTTTTTTGTTGTTGTTGTTTTTGTTCTACACTTGAAAAACAAATTATAAAAGTAAAACGAACAGGAATAAAATTAAAAGTTAGGTCTTTAATTGCCTAAATAAATTAAAAATTCAGTGTGTACAAGAACAACAGCTCATGCCTTGTACTCTTTACTCTGTTTTGTAACAAGAAGCTAATGTGGTTTTCTTTTCAAATACAAAAAGAAACTAGCAAGGTCTTCTGAACGACACCAAACCATCTGTTACGTAATTCCAAGTAAAAGTATTTTGGATTCAGCACCACAGAAAACTGGGAAAACTATTCTGTACAAGTACAGGCTGTTAGCTTCTTTGTTAGCATCAACAATTCTGACGTCGGTTTCAAGAGGAACAGTGTTACCTTGAATGAACTGAACATTATTTTCATCCTTTTACAGTTTATTATGTGGGTTGAGTTCCATTTAGGTTGTACAAACCACATGTACGTTCTTAATTGTTTGATATAATTTTTCTAAAATGGCCGCCTCCTGCTGCTGCTACTTCTGAAAACTCCTTAAGAGTTCTTCAGATATGAAACTAAATCGCTTCTTAGCATTGTTTTTGAACTGCCCCTAGGGGATAAATAAAGATATCTGAATTGAATTGAATTAGTGATAGATTTATGTGGCTACAGGGGAAGTAGAAGGTGGTTTTGGGATGAATGTGCTGCAGAGAGAGGATGACGTGATGAGGTCATGTACAGGCTTCATACGGTCACGTGACTGTGAGGACTGACACAGTGAACGCTGCCTGCAGCTGGCCGATAGCGAGCCACCGGCTGCAGAAAACAGTGTCTGTGTCAGGACCGTCCATTGTTCTGAGTCAGAAGGCTGCTGATGAGGTCAGAGATTGTCACAAGATGTAGTAATTTGCATACTCCCCTGCTGATCCGGGGAGCAGCCTTGAAGAACATGATCCAAACACAAAGTGAGCTTAGCCGACCCTCAGTCAGGCCAGATCCGAGCTGAGGACTCTCACGGGATAAAGAAACATGTCGTTTGCAGCTATACTACATCTACAGAGTACTACAGCTTGTGACAGGAGAAACACTGCAGGTTTTCACAACAGAGCTTTTAGCACATACAAGTTCATGCAAGTTTATGTCTGGAAAGCAACACACAAAATGCCCATTCCTATGCATGATCCAAGGCTCCTTTTTTTTTTTTCAAATTATTTAGACTGATATTCAGGAGGAGTCAAAAAGGAATGGATTACTTTTTTTGCCATTGTAACTTAGTAAAAAATAAACAAAACAAAAAAACAATTCAGGCCACATTATTTCATTAAAGGTGGCTGTTTCGAAGCACAAATTTGAACTAAAGATGCATCATTTAATTCCCTACCTGTGATAAATTCAAGCCTCTCGCTCAATGTCCTCATGCTTAGTTTTTTTTCTCTTTTTTTTGAACAGTTTTTGAAGGTGGTGAGATGAGCACACAACATTAATAGCAATACAAATACATCACACTGAATAGAAACTAATTATTGTTCAGATCTTTTTTTCCTTTTTTTTTCTTTTTTTTTTTTTAGCCCTAGTATGTCTCAAGAGATCATAACAGTTAGATTCACTCCCGGACATAATGCAAGAAATTGTGCTACTGCAAAAAAAAAAAATCCACGTCACGACATTTTAGATTTTTTATCCTTTTTTTGTTTCTTTTTTTGTAAAGCCGGTTTAAATTTCTTGTGATGTTTGAGCTACTTGTCATGCAGTTTATAAAAGGTGACTCTTCTGTGATTTTTTGTTGTTGTTGTTGTTGTTTCAGATTGAATTGAAACTGATCAGTTTTTTTCTTTTCAGACAATAATTTTCACTAAAAGAAATTTTTTTTTCAGTTAAAGTTTCGATGAAAAGGTACGCAAGGCAGACAGAATTTTTCGGAAAAAAGCGTCAAAGAAAAGCTATACAAACAGAATTTCAAGAGTGAGTAGAAAAAAGTCTTTCAACAGTGAAGTAGATATGTTTGTCATGAAGAACTGAGACATCATAAGCCTTCTCTCACTCCAGTCTGACTCCTGCAGTCGTGCCTACAGTGTTAGAATATTCCATCTGGAATCTATTGATCATCTTACATAATGTACAGTATTCATACCGATATGTACAGCAGCCAGCCGAGTGTGTTGCACGGAGAAGTGGATTTGGCACAGCTACGTCTGAACACCAAACTACAATGTCGAGTCGAATGGAAAACAAAGAAAGCTACCTTACAAAAAACAATAGAAAAAATAGAGTGTGTAGTCTTTTTAGATTCAAATAAATAATAATAAAACTCTCAAAGCAAAATAAATCCACTTCTTTTAGATTCATACATACAGAACGCACGGCGATACACACAAACACACTCGCACTTTCACATTTTTGTTACACGTGAAACATTTAAAACCACCGCTCGCTCCGTTTTTTTTTTTTATCTCACAAGGTATTTCCTTGAGTTCTGTTTCAGTCTTCTTCAAAAATACAAATCCCCCGTCTCTTGGCTTCATCAAAAACGATACGTCTTGAAGAGATCACACTGTTCCGTCACTATTTGTTGTTATTTTTTTTGTAGCTGGAAGTATTGCTTTAAGAAATACATTTTGGTCTTCTTCTCAGATGGTTTTAGTGACAGAATCTCTAATGGAAGCAATTTTTTGAATCATTTTTGCTCTGGATTTCCCTACACAGCACTTGAACGTTACATTCAAAGTGTGCACAAGGCTGCTTCTGGAGTCTGAGAGGACGTATGACCAAAAACCCTCCCTCGTGAGGACTGTTTGCATTCTGCAAAGACGCTCTCTTAAGTCTTGCATGTGTGTGCTCTTCCTTTGCCAGGATGTTGAAAACAGGATACGTGCTCATACTTGTTGTCTGTTTGTTTCTTTTTCCATGCATGCACATCTATGTGGTTGGATGAGAGGTATAAAAGTGTGTACCGGCGAGTCCGTCACAATGTTCTGACGCGCTCAGACGCAGATTTCTATGGGCGTGGCTACCAGCATACGGCCACCCGGTGAACTGTTCTCTCGTGGCATTCGATCGTAACTGTTGGTAGACGACACGGAGCTGTTGGTGGAGACGGACACAAAATGGTGGCCCCCGCCCGGTTCCATCATCCCTCCTTTGGCCCCGCTGCCGCTCCCCCTCTCCACCACCATGGGAGACATGGGGGAGAGGGGCGACAGCGGGGAGCGAGGCGACAGAGTCTGCTGCTTCATCCTCTCCACAAGGAGCTCCTCGTCCTCCTCCCCGGACGAAGATGACGAGATGGTGCCGTCCACCTCTCCTCGCACACCCCCTCCTCCTCCACCTCCTCCTCCGCCTCCTCCACCTCCCCCTCCACCGCTGACTCTCTCCCCGCCACCTCCGCCTCCCGTGTTGCTGTTGTTGTTGTCGTTCTCTGCGTCCAGCATCCAGGAGTGACTGAAGTAGCCGAACACCTCTTTGACGGAGCAGCGGCGGTCCTGCTCCATGGAGAGCAGCCGGCGGAACATGCGGAGGGCCTGCTCGGTGAAGCGCCTCCACTGCGACGGCACCGTGTTCGTCCTCCTCCTCTGCCAGCGGATGAACTCCTGGTAGAAGGAGTCGGAGGGCAGCGCCTTCTCCCACGGGAAGTTGCCGGTGAGCATGCAGAAGAGCAGCACGCCGAAGGCCCACACGTCGGTGCTGTAGTCCACGCAGAAACCCTCGTGGCGAGAAACGTCGCAGAGCTCTGGGGCCGTGTAGGGGATGGTGCCACTGACCTGCAGGGAAAACACAACGGGTCACAGGTTTCAAATTGCACAAAAGCAAAAGCGAATTAGGCTCGTTTCCATTAACTGCATTGAGGCAAATAAACTAGGTTGCATCGTCCCATCCATAGACTGTATAAAAGATGGACGTAGCTACCGTGACGTCACCCGTTGGTTTCTGCACTGAGAAAATGAAGCCAGGGTTTTGCTACTTCCTGGTTGACATCTTGGATTTTTGGAGGCAGTGGCGCAAAAATCATCGGAGGGGGGCGGAGAGCCATAGGAGCAGCGATTGGTCAGACGGATTGAGAAGCAGGCCCTCTCTGCCCGCACACATTTACCGCCTTCTGCTCGTTTCATCTGTATGGTCGCTGCCGACTGTCAATCAAGCCAGCCACGCCCCTTGCCCCGCAAAATTTTGATGATTTTTTAAAAACTCAGTATTGATTTATTTTCAGATTGGCCACCTGATCTCTGGACTTGACCATGAAAACTAATTTTTAAAAAATCCTGAGCTGTAGGAATGCAGTATTTCATGATCTGTGATCACTTCTTTTCCAATTCATTTCTATGGGAGCCAGGGCTTTTTGGAGCCAGGACTAGCAGACGTAGTGATATTGCAGGTTTTTGACACTTCCAGGTTGGCTTCATTTTTCAGAGCCGGTTGCTACGTCCATCTTTTATACAGTCTATGGTCCTATCAGAGGGTAGTGAATACTCTGTATACACAACGTTGAAATATACAGAGTAGAAGAGCTCAGAACAAAATCAGTCGTTTGGCAACTGCTAGAAGCTTCAAAGAAGATGAAGAAACAACCAAAACTTTGTCCATCTACAAGAGAAAAGTGGAGCGAAGTATCCAGGAACTGTTTTCAATCAGGAAGTCTGTAATTACTCCTTCATTTCAGCTCGTAGTGGCTTGTTTCATGCTGTCCAGAAGTGAAGACAGTGAAAGAAGCAGGAACACAGTCATGTGAGTTAAATGCTCACTGCGTCATAACCTAAAAAACCTGGTTCCATTATTCACATCAAGTCAAAAACCACCCAAAGTGAGCGTACGTTTTTTTGAATTTTGCCATTGCCATGACCTTTTCCTAATGTGATACTTCACAAATACATGATGGCTTATAGGGTGAAACAGAAACTCACTCTTTTCACGGGCGAGCCAGCACGACGGGTCATGCCGAAGTCAGACAGCTTCACCTTGCGGCACTCTCGGTCAAAAATGAGGATGTTTTCAGGCTTGATGTCCCTGTGGACCAGCTTCTTACAGTGCAGGTAGTCCAGAGCGATGGCCACCTGGTGCACACAGCGCTTTGCCACCGCCTCAGGAAGACCAACCTTCAGGAGCAGACAGAGGGAGAGCAGCACAGTTAGACAGTGAGTTTGGTCAAACTGGAGCAGAGCTTTGGTTCAGGCAGAGCAATGAAGTCCCACTTGTTCAGTCCTGTCAGTGAGTCATTCATTCACAGTTTGGCTACCAGCTGATTGAAAAGGTGATGTCACTATTTAAAGAAAACTGCAATCATTTCTTGAAGATAAAATATTTTATTGAAGCCCGTGTGTGCATTTTTTTTTTAAATGTGATTAAAGAATGTTTCTAAATGTAGCGATTTAACTTTGGAGTGAAAACAACTTCACTGCCTCCTAATCTAACTTGTTAGGATGTTAAATTAGCCATAGTCCTAGACTCAGACGCTATTATGCAGCGAATCAATAATCACAATGATGGCTGTAAATGAGCACCTGTGGAGGAATGATATCGAAGAGGTCTCCTGCCAGAGCGTACTCCTGTGCGAACACGTAGTACTCATCTGTCTCGAAGGCGATGCCGAACATGTTGATGATGAAGGGGCAGGGAGACAAGTAGAGGGAGATGCTGTACTCCCGTAGAAAAGACTTCAGCTTGGTCGTCTTCTTCTTTAGGAACTTCAGTGCCATTTTTGTACCTTTTGGAGAGAAACAGAGGAGATTTGTTTTCTGCTGATCATTTGTGTTGCAGCAGTATGCTCTACTGCTGTTTGTACAACGCGCGTGGTCCCTCACCTCTGATCTTGTGGATGACCAGGTCCACCTTGCCGTAGGTGCCTTTGCCCAGCTCTCTGATCACCTCGTAGTACTTGTTGACCTCCAGCCTCTCCAGGTTCTGGGCAGCAATCAGCTGCAGCTCGTCCAGGATGTCCATGTTGGCTCGAGAAACCAGTGGAGAGGAACTCATTGTGGGGAACGCTCGCAGGGGACGGACTGGGGGGTGGAAAGACTGAGGACCGGACACTCAGGTAGGACAGGAGCAGCAGCAGCTAATGGCTGGTGTCACTGCACAGAAACAAGAGCAGAAAAACATTTTTAAATTCATGCCCACTTTTATTCTTATTTCACCTGTAGGGAGTGCTACTAAAAAAACAAACATCAAATTGATTTGAATTCTGTGGTTGTTTTGTCTTCTGTGCAACATGTCTTTCCTTTTCTTTCACTGTCATTTAGATCCTGTCTCTTCTTTCTGATCGTGTCTGTTCCGCTCAGTGTGTGTTTGTTTCTACAGAAATGTTGGAAACAGACACAAAGACCGGAGCTGAACAGGAGAGGACAAGGAGAAGCAGAGGAGGGATGAAAAGCAGCAGAGACTATCACACTGAGCCAGCATTAAACAGTGCCGCACATAAATGAAGACAAATTAAGTAATTATTATTATTATTATTTTAAATTAGAAATACTTTGCTTTTTTAGGACATCAGTTGAATGCTCAGACTGCACTTTTACTTTTATAATGTAATGTGGGAGGTCACTTTTCAGAACCAATCAGAATCAGAATATGATCTGTTTCTAAACTTGAGAACAGTTTCAATGGGAGGGACTCACATGCACTAACACACTCTCGAGCTGGTCCAGCTGCTAAAACACAGACCAGATTACAACACAGAGGGAGTGTGACTCCATCTGCTACAGATGCCAACACTCCACAATATCTTTACATAAGATAGATGTTTGCTGTTACATTATTGCTTCATTTATCAAAACCTTGCATATGGCACCTTTACATTTTGTCCTTTATTTTTTTTTCTACTATGATGTAATATCATTCTCCAACATGACTGAATTTTTTTCAAAAAATCTTGATCCTCATCTGTTTTTAAACATCTTTTAGACATGGTTAGCACTGTCTAAAACTGTGGAGTAAATATACATGAAAAATTTAGTGTAAAACTTTGGCACAATCTGTCACTGTGGGTACTGCAGCTTGTCTAGAAGTCGCCATCCTACTCATATGATGGTTGTTGTTTCAGTGTGACAGTAAGGCAAATTATTTTAGTCTGAATTACAAATGTAAATATACTTTGTTGTTGTTACTTGTTTGGTTTTCAAGGTCAGTGATTGATGATACGCCGTCGATGTCGAAGCTCACAGTCTGTTGCTCTGATCTGCAGCGTGATATTCACTGAAAATGCTAATTATCTGCAGTGAAGGCTTAAGTAATTCTAAATGCTACTCGCCAAGGGGGGATGCCAGAGCTGAGCTGTGAGCTGACTCACACACACACACACACACACACACACACACACACACACAGCCAATAACAGTCCTTTCTAGCAAATCCATTCCCTGCTGCAGTGTGATTATTCCTAGTGATTGCTTTTTTTTTCTTCCTGAGTAGCCGGACCTGCCAAGTTCTGACCCTCAATCTATACCTCCAGGCCCATGTGGAGGAAATATAGGAGCTCTACACACACGCTCACACAGACTCACACAGTCCTTACATAACCTGAAGTGCTGGAAAGCAGCCGGTCTCCATTGGTAGACACTTGGATTGCTGTCATATTTACAGCACCTTCTTTGTCATCAACACAGACCCCTGCCAAGCTATATCTGATATTCTCCACAAATCCTGCAAAGGGTTTAATTTCTTGCCACCGGCTGGTTTAGGAAAGAATAAAATCACATTCTGATGTGGATGCAGCAGTCGCAAGCTGTCGTAACATGCTTCATCGCATGTTAAGTCACCGCGTATGTACACTTCTACAATTTCATATTGCTTTTATCCAATGTGATGATGTATGTGTATGTATGTGACAAAATAAACACACAAACAGCTCGTCATCCCCTCCACAGGCTTCCACTGTAGGAGTGCAATCTTTTTTGGTGTGTGTGTGTGTGTGTGTGTGTGTGTGTGTGTGAAGTGGACAGGAAGAATGGTTGACGCCAGCAGGTGAGAAGGGATGAGTCAGTTTGGGTGATAAATGGCAGTTCAGAGAGGATGTACTGCATCTCTGTGCTCCCTTAAATAAAAGCTTGCAGACACATGTGGTAAGAAAACACACACACACACACACACACACACACAGGAGGAAAAGCTGGGAGTTGTAAACAGAGAAGACCATTTGTTTCTGCCCAGGATCAGAAGTGCTTACTGTAGCACTGCAGGATGCATGCAGCACCGTGTGTGTGTGTGTGTGTGTGTGTAGGTGTATGTGTGTGTTTATGCTTGTTGGTATGTTCGGACTGCAGAGGACTTTGGTCAAAATAACAACCAACATCACCTTGTTTGACACTAAAACATACTATGTTTATTAAAGTGCTGCAGTTTTTTTTTTTTTTTTTTACCAATTAAGCAGTTTTGAATTAAATATCTTGTCAACAACTGGATCATTTGGAACAGATGGTCATGTCCGCTGACTTTTTATCTAGCAGATCCTCTCCGGTGAGAATGAAGTTTTTTAACCTTGTTACCACGTCCATGTGGTGTTTTATATATGCTGGAAGACACACAAGCAGTCAGTGTTACAACTTTCCATTGTGTAGTGTAGAGTAGTACTATAGTGTTTGTGCAGAGTCATGGGTGAGCTGATGTGCTCGAGCTGCTGTGAGTGAGGAGGGACGGGTGGGGAGAGAAGCAGGGACTGCATGGATCTACACATTCTGGACGAAGCAGCTGTGTAGAGTTAAAAGGCATGAAGGGATTATTTTGAAGGACAGCCAAACACATGCAAACCTTTCCCATCAGCCTCTGCTGTACTTCGTATTTAGCACGAATTAACACCTCTTAGTATGCAAACAAAATTAAAATGGTGAATCGCAGCACATCTACTAAACACCAGCATGTTGACATTGTCACTGTGACCATGTTCAGGTGCATAGATGTTCACCAAAAGTCAGTTAAACTCAACACCTGAAAACCTTTTTGTACCCAGTGAGCTGCTCTGAATGGCTTGAGTTTCAGAACATGAGATCCAGTTTTCTGCATCTCTTCCTTGTTGTTTTTGTGTCTCTCCTCTTCCACCAAGCGATCAAAATTTCTGGCAAAGACAGCCGGTGGAAAACTCTCGCTCTGATCAGCGGAGAACAGCGCCTTCTTTCTCATCCGCTCTCGGTGTAATCAGGTCATACTAATCTGACACGAATCCTCACGTATCCGCGGCTGCAGAGATACCACACGGAGAAATGTGATTAGTCAGCACGGGCCGCTCGGTGTTTTCTCCCGCTAGCCTCTGCTGTCTGCAGAGATGATGCAAGTTTCGAAAAGCCTCAGTAATCTTCTCTTTTTCACACATCTAGGAGCGCTATCTGCACTGCAAACCTTCTATGATTACTACAAGGACACATGAATGCAGTAACGAATGTAAACCGTTGGAGCCCGTGCAGACTGACTTCATGTGCTTGTTTGTTGTAATCTTGGTACTCAGACCTCCCTGGAAAGCAGCGTTGCCACTGAGTGTCTGGTGAAATAAAACCAGCAGAATTGAATTCCGCCTTAAGTCGGATGATCTCAGCTACATTAATCATCAGCTCCTAATCACTGTAAGCATAACCGGATTAACACACCTACACTGTGCTCAGGCAATTCATTTAATGGAAGTAAACTCATAGCCTGATTTCATTAGGTGTTTTAAATGTACACAAATGCCAGAGAGAAGCGACGAGTGGACTGAATGCCAATCACCTGCCTTAAAACGGTTTAATCAGATTTCACTGTGGACCTGTGCAGTACGTCGTCTGGGTAGTTACAACAATCAGCTGTCTGCAAAGTGCAACCCTCAGTTCTGATAACCAGACTTTAACCACAGAATTTATTGTATTTTTAAGCTTATATAAACATCTTGAGTGGTTTTCGGATGAGTTGAGACGCCTGTGATTGATTCTCTAAACTACAGTGACAACATTGGAGAGATTCTATGTCATCTGCTGTTTAGTATTCAGACCAGACGATTGCGTGCGACTAGATCAGACACTCCTTAAACACGTCACACATCATCTCTCCTTACCTCAGTCTGCCTTTATCAAACACACTCAGGTCTGTGCTGGCAGCTTCCATCCACATCCATGTATATGTGTGTGTGTGTCAGCCTCCTACTGTGTGCGTTCGTGTTTACCACAAAGACAAACTGAATCTGTATTTATATAGAAGCAGAGTGAGTCATCAGATCAGGATAAATGTTGGCTCTTCACGGGGGAGAGGAAGTCTGCTTGTGTGCGCATCACATAAGCTCAGTGGTAGCCATGCAAGTAACACAATGCACAACTAGCTGCATTTCACAAGCATTCTGCATCCTTGGAAGAAACAACTGCAAAACCAGCGATTGGACAGCATCTTGGCAGAGCTGAAATCTGATTGGATAGAAAAAATTGGATGACCTGCAGCTCATCCTTCTTAAAGGTGCAACATGCATTTTAAGGGAACATGAAATAATGCTGCGAAAACACTGGAGATCTCTCTGCATGAGGAGTGTAAAGAAGAGAGAGGGAGGTGAAGCTGACTAGTAGCGTCTATCTCACACCACTGTTACTACTGTTAGCAGTGTTTTCTCTTTTATATTGCACCTTTTTGTAAAAGAAATGTAATGGTAGCACTCCTCCCTCTGAAGCAAAACCCTCAGTGGCCACAGCAGTGTGTCACAAGACATTCTGGGACTAGACACTGTCTGTAAAAGATGGAAAAACCTCTTGGTCTAAAAATTAAAGCAATGAAAAAGCGCCCTAACCTGCATTCTTTTTAAGAGAGCTGCAATCACTAGTTTCAAGTCTCCTTCAGTAGAGCATCGTGCTCATTTTGTAAATGACGTTCCCAGTCAGAGTTACACAGATGATAATGCGGAGTACTTTTCAGGGAAGGGATAAGTTATGATTGACAAGTCACAACCATATTGGTGTGCTTAGTGTCCTCAAAATTCTCAGTCAGATCCAACCATCATGGTTACGAAAGACCAAGATGGTGATGGCCAAATGCCAAACTCGAGGATTTAAAACGGTGGTCGACAAACCAACGGGTGACGTCACAGTAGCTACGTCCATCTTTTATTTACAGTCTATGGCTGGGATGCAGG